TACTCGTGGCCTTGTGTCTAACTAAGCTAGGTAAATAATAATAACAAGGACGTGATAGACATTTGAGTCAGAATATCGAATTTTAAATAAAACCTTATGCTAAACGTTTTCCTCACATATCCATTTCTTGCAAAAATTATAGTTATAAGTATTTTAAAATGGAAAGTTACTTTTCCATCACCCTATATATATATATATATATATATATATATAAGGAAAAGACTTAAATGCAGGTATATATATATATATATATATATATATATATATATATATATATATATATACAGTGTAACCCGGATATAAGAGAGTTGTCGGGACCGGAGAAGTCTCTTATATCCGGGTTTGGTCTATTTTATATACATTAACACAGGCTCTAATTTGGGACCAGTAAAATCTCTCTTATATCCGGGTTACACTGTGTGTTGAAATAAATTTATAATCAATTATATGATGAATATTTAAATCGTTTCCTTATTAGATAAATTTATACATTGAGCCCTCATTATGGATATAACTTTTAATATTTTTATATTAAAAGACTTCCTTGTAATATTCCTACCACCTACAGATTTGGTATTATATATTATATATATATATATATATATATATATATATATATATATATATATATATTTATTTATTTTTGTGTGTGTAACCTCATTAAATAATTGTAGGAAATGCAATAGACTTAACTACTATCACTGGAAATTCATTTTTTTTTTAAACCGGCTCATACAGAAATTAAATTTTTATACACGGACTAGCTTCAAATTGGAATCTCTATATTCATATATATATTAACCAATCAGCGTTGTCATATGAGATGCTTGGTATTCTTTGAATTTGTAGAAACTTAAGTTTTGTTGTTTGCTGCAGATTTTTGGAGGATCATTTCAGGATATAATCAACAATATTTTCCCTACTTAAAATGGATGTTTCAAAATTGGGAAAATATTTATTAACCTTATGAGATTAATCAATCTATTTTTTCTGGAGCAGATATTTCGTTATAAAAGCGATCAATTTTAGTTCACTTAACCTTTTGACTTGTTTGTTTTTTTTATAATCCATTTCTTTCAATGTGAAAGAAAAATAATCCTCAATAATAAAATAATATTTAAATTTGTAGAGACGTGTTTGTAGAACGCTTTATGCACGCATCTCTTCTACATAATTAGGAATAAACTAAAAAACTGAGTGAATTTGAAACGAAGACAGATAATGGCAGTGATAGATACACAAAGGACAGCAATTTCCTAATGATGTCGAGGTGAAAGAGACAATTCGTATAGGATTATGAAAGCAATCAAGAAGCTTCTAAAAGGTGTGTATATATATTTGTTCATTCAAAGGTGAAAGAAAGGAGACAATGGTTATGAGTAAATTTGAAAGCTTCAGTTTATGAGATTTATAATGAAAGAAGGATAAATTTTGCTTTTAGACTAAATTTGGTATACTTATTTTTATTGAATCTGCTTTTCTTTAAAATAAAATTTGTTTTTAATTACTTGACCTATCCGTCGTCAACGGCTTTATCTTGTATTGAAGAATTTAATTTCTTCTTTGCTGATCGCTTCCTAAGACGATGATGATGGTGTTGATGACTAAATTCGCCGTCAACCTGCAGGTTCTGGTCTAGAAACTTTCATTTTCACCAAAACCTACCCCATTATCATCATCATCATCCATTCCCTATCGCCGTTTGGCTTTGCAAGAGTTGGTTAGAGGTGAATGTAAATAAGAGTTTAAGGTGGACCTCATCTTGCCAGGAAGTGACCCACACACTTGATTTCATCACATTCCTTTACAGCTCATATAGAATAAAGCATGCAGAATTCAGTTATGAAAATGCAACAGTCTGACGTTGACTGTTATAAACTCGAGTGGCGCCTTCTGTAGCATGTCCGTCATGCGTAGCTCTCTCCATACGCTGGTTCAACCATTAAGATGCAGCATACCCAATATATAATAATATATATTAAAATAGATTGACTTTTTATTGAATCAGTTTTCTTTAGAATTTGTTCTTAATTACCTGACATACCCAATTTTACTTATTATAAAACGCAGATTGTGTGTGTGTGTGTGTGTACACGTTTATATATTGGATCGGATTTCCTACATTTTTCAACCGATTTCAACAAAACTTCACAGGACTACATAAAATTACCTTGCGGTGGTTCTAACAGCACCAAAAATTAGAAAAAACACAATTGTTTTTGCACGAAATCAATTTGAAAACACGATTAAGAAGCATCACGAGAATGAAAGGGGGACAACTCATATCGAGTTATACTTATAAAACCCAGGTTGGTTGTTTGTGTGTGTGTGTGTGTGTGTATGTTCGTTTATATATGGGATCGGATTTCCTACATTTTTCAACCGATTTCAACAAAACTTCATTTTTTTTTTTTGGCAGGTAGTGTTTCTTATTGTCTTGCACACTTTTTTCTTTATTTTTACATTCAGAATGCTTAAAAAAAAAAAAAAACTAATTAAGACATGCGTGTCCGTCAACCTTAAACAATAATCTTTGTCAATTTTATTTTTCAGTCTTTATGATGGTCAATACTTTATCTATCTCTTACTGTTACATTTCCGGGCAACGCCGGGCTCTACTGCTAGTATATAATAATTTCCAAGTGTCCCCACCAAAATTGGCATCATTTAAAATGTGAATATCTGAGTAACGAAATTGAATAAGCTTCGTACTGAACAAGATTTATCAAAATTCGAACAAGATATTCAAAGGTATGTAGATTTTATAAACGATTTCACAAAGCTTCACTATATTCGCACCACCTATGACACAACACGCGTCAAGTCGATAGTCCAGCATCTACCAAACACGCTGTAGCATGTCTTGCGTAACATATTTCAGCGCATCAGTGATTCTCTGCTTAAATTCCTCTAGGCTTGTAGGAAGAGGTGGGGTATGGACCTGTCCTTTTACATAGCTTCATAGGAAAAAAAAAAATCACAAGATGTCAAGTCAGGTGAATGTGGTGGCCATTTCAACAGCACATTGTCATTATCCCTGGCAAGCTCGATCCATCGTCCTGGTAGATTCCCAATGAGATAAGTCCGTACAGTCAACTTAGTTTTTACACATTTTGCTAAGATTTGAAATCATTTGAGCGAGAATTGATTGTTATTATTTGACTACAAAATGATGTCAAATTTTTTTTGGCGGGGACCCTGTATATTAAAATAGATTTTCTATTGAACCTTTTTCTTTTTATTATAATTTGTTCTCAATTATTGCGGCACTGTGTGTGTGTGTGTGTGCCCGTCCCATTTTCCAAAATCCGACCAAATAAACAGTTGCCAGATGTTTTTGATTGAGAGAGAAACTATTTTATTTTTCAACAACTTTCGTTTGTATTGCAATTCAAGGTTCTTGCAGAAATGGCCAACCAGCACAAGACTGGTGGAAAAGAGCAATTTTGGGATGTAGGCAATTGGTAATATTCTCGTTATCATAAAGACATTTCTGCAATGATTCCAGTTAAGTGCTTTCCAGAAACCAAACAAAAAATCTATCTATAAAATCCAATGAACTTTCTATTCACATTCTAGAATCAGGTGAGGAAATTTTAGGGCTACAGGTCAGGGTCAGTGGAATTGGAACCACAGATTAAAAGTATACAAGCTATTTAGACATTGATCTTTCTATGAATGTCACTTCTGTAGACTGGAATCGACAGAATATCACACCTTAAAAAATGTTAACACTACCTGAACTATAGTTTCCTATGAAAAGTTACTGGATTATGAAGGATATTTGTTCCGTTGTTAAATGTTAACCACTGGTATCAGAGATTGATATTGGAAACCAGGAAAAAACAAAGACTGATTTTCCAAACAGGCAGACCTTCTTCCACTTTGAAGACAGATCCACCACCATCTTCAAAACCCCTTATTTGACATTTGGCAAATATCTATATACAGGAGTATATCAATGTCTCTATGTAATACTATGACTGGGACACCGACATATAAGGGGATAGGGTGTATTAGCGTTTTATGACCAGCAATAAAGTTTGTGAAGTGGAGTCTTCAAAGCAGCCACACACTTGACCAAAATATAATAAACAGATAGGTAAATGAAAACCTTTGGGAACAAGTGACAACAAACCGGATGTAGAAGACTTCCGGTCATAAGCTTCTATTAATAGTCAGTTGGGATTGAGCATGCCTGTTATTGAGTGTTGGCCGACCGTCAAGCTGCTTAGAGTTACCAGTCGCACATAGTGATGTAGAGATGGGCAGAGACTTGGGAGGAGAGAAAAAGCTGATCTTTTAGTTTTAGATATCAGATATGGCAGGAGTTGTCCTCAAGTGTCACCTACCGAGCCACACAGACTGAACAAGAGAATCCTTGAAACAAACAATATATATTGAAAATAGGGTTAGCGCCTTCATTTCTCACTGTGACATTTATTTTCCTCTTTCGTTTTTTTGTGAGAGTGTGCAACAAGCCCTTCCCAGCTTTTGGTGCACATGAATGAGAATAGAAAAACAATATAGGGGTTCATTGCCAGGTCTGCCAAAAGGTGGGAGAGCTCCCTGTTGTATATTTACATGTAGCCCAAGGAAAAAAAAAAAACCAAACATATTTTTAATAGCCTTGGTTCTCAATGAACTTAATTTGGTGTTAAATATTATTCACATATTGAATATTACATAGTGAAAATTTCAAATCAAAATTCAGCTGAGGACTACATGTCAAGCTACAAGTTTATTGATCCAATCTTGGAACATTATTTAAATAAAAAAAAAATGAAACAATTTTAGAATTTTGTAGATTAATTTTATTACTCTTCTGTTGACAGGAAGAAAAAAAAAATTCTTTTTCGTTTTTTCTTTTTTTAAAATCAAAGACATTGACCAAGGACAGAGTTGATTTAGCTGTCTTGAGAGACAGTATTGTTGATTTTCTTTCTTTGGCATGAAGTCAGATTCCTTTCCTCCTGAAGCAGCAACAGGAGATGAGCAAATTATTCAGAAACTGCCTCATCAGAAAGTAGCTTCAATTCATTTCGAATCTCCTGAATGAACGATTCTCGTGGAATAGTCCGCTGAAACATAGGAAGAGTAAAGACACAATGAATAAAGACAACATTTATTTTCTTTTAAGGAAAAATTTTTCATTATTAGTTTTGAAGCTACAGATATACAAGTACAAGATGCAATGAATAAATTTTATATTATTAAATTTTGTGCATGTGTGTTGTTTGTTTTTGATTTTGTCAACTGCACAGTACAGTAGGGTTAGTTGGGCATTGTCTGTGAGAGAAAAAAAAGCACCATGACGCAATTCACTACACCAGAAATTTGGAAATGGCATACTGTACTGCTTGGTATCTGCACCAGAAGCTCCAATACGAACATTTCAGAGTCTTTGGGTATCAATCTGAGGACAGTGAAGAGGATTCAGAAAGAGTTGGATGATATATACAGTCATTATCATGGTATTTGGAATAAGCACTAGTAATGGTGTCATTATGCTTCCATTAATCTTCCCACAGGACCTAAGATTCAACATGGAGGCCTACATCAAGTGCCTTGAGAAGGTAGTGCTGCCCTGGGTTAAGAGGGTGGCTGCAGGAAGACCCTATGTCTGGCAAAAAGGACTCTGCACAATGCTACACAACCAGGAGAACACAGTCAGGCTGTCAGACAATTTCTGCGATCACATAACCCCTAATATCTGGCCACCAAACTCCCCAGACTGAAAACCCATTGATTATTATGTGTAGGGTGCAGTTGAGTGAGAGACCAACAAAACTACTTGTAACACCGAAGATGAACTGAAGGTAAAGATTATGGCAGCATTCACCAACTTAAACAAGGAGACCATCCAGAAGTGTTGCAGGAAACTCCAATGTCATCTGGAGGCTGTGGTTGAAGCCAATAGCGATTTTATTGAATAAATTTACTCTTTAGTATTTCAAGATATTTTTGTGTAATTTTAGTAAATATAACTGTTAAAATGAGATGTCAGTGTTATTTTCATTTTTGCATAATTTAGACAATAATTCATCACATTGTATATATCAATAGGTCAACCCTGAATCCCTCTCACATATGACTGCATACCATTCTTTTATTAGCTTCTATATGGAACAAGTTATGACAAATTTATTATAGAAGACTAGACTGTGTTAGTTTCACCTGATACTGTGAATTGCTACAAAAACAAAACACATTAACCTGAAAATTCGAGTCAGGCTTTTAAATTGCTTTGGCAGATCAAGATTTCTATATGGATGTCATGGCATACAACTCATTTAGAAATGTCTAAACTAACAGTTGTATACAACTACTTTCTCAGATCAATGATTAAAAATGGACTCTGCAGGTTTTTGAGAGGGCCATTTTCCTTCCAACTATGTGGACTGGCACTACAGAATCACAACAAAAATCTCTACCGATTAACAGAAAGCACATCACTTCTGAGGCATCAAATGTGAATTGAGCTGTTAAAGGCTAGGTCAGAGGAGAGATCAGTTGCCAATCTCTGGTCATCTTGAGTTTTGGAGGTGCATCTGTATCCCATTGCATCATCAGCATAGATATTCATAAATGATTGGAGTGTACTATTAGGCAGATCATTTATAGAAAATAAAAAGAGGGCTGGACTGAGAAGTAAGCTTTGGAGCATTCCTGTGTATATCTAGAAATGTCTAGCAAAATAAACTGAACAGTTGAATCTTGAAAAAAAAAAAAAAAAAACAACAACTCACCTCTTCCCTGGAGTCTATTTTCCTAAGTTTAAGAATTCCTTGTTGTATTTCTGATTCTCCAATAATGACTGCAATGGGAATGCCATTGTTCTCACAGTATTGGAATTGGTCTAAAAGTTTGGGGTTCTTCTTGTATGAATGTTCTGTCTATAATCATAAATAGTATTAAAAAAAACAGTTAAAAGAAAGAAAAAGAAAGAGAGAAAATAAACAAAAAAAACAACCACATCTTTTGTGTCATTATCACAGTGTTTCAGTGATCATGCCATCTGGTCTTCATCAGGTTTCAGCCAAACTGGGTAGCTGTCAGAGAATTTTTAACTGAGCTCTTTATTTAATCTACAGAGGTAGAATTGTTCTAATTCTATTGTCTACAATGGCTGAAACATTGTGATAATAACAGCAACAAAGATTAGAATATTAACCCAAATGTAAATTATGTAATCTCCTCATCTCAGATATGTAGACAAAGATACAGAGATTCTAAATATAATTTTACCTAATTGCATCCCATGATATCAAAATTGATGATATCAATTTGATTAATCTTTGAAAGTTTGGCATTTAAAAATTACCCTTAGAAAAAATGCACATTATTTAACAAATCATCCCAGATTGAATCAACAAGAACTCACTTTGATTTTCACATCCCACAATTGTCGGCAAAGTTTCATACGTTCTTCCAGCATATTCTTTTGGGCTGAAATTACGTACACTTCAGTTGATGTCGTCCGAACTTTCTTATTGGTGGCCTGTTAAGACAAGGGAAATCAATTTATTAAAAGTGGGTCTAACAAATACATTGTCATGGTGATTAAAGAACAGATGATAATGAAATGGTAATTAAAGCAAATGATGACGATTAACAACATAGAGTAAGAATAACACAATGGCCTTGATGACTTGTTGACAAGAGGAGATAGTTTTCAATTTGGGGAAATGGTCTAAGGCTGCAAAAATTTTCTCTTGGGAAAACAATGAACAAAAAGACTATGTTGGATTGTATAGAACACTTACAACACACGGAAAAAAATTTCCTGGGTTTTGTATATAAAATCTGAGGTGGGGTCTGATAGGTTAATACTTACCTAAAAGCTTTAGAATACCATTAATTGTACTTAGCTTCACACCATGGTACTCTAATTTTATATTGTAACGTCTGTTAAGTGCTCAACAACTGCTTAGGCAATAATTATTATATTAAAAATATCAGAAGTTCATGATACTTATTGAAGATTGATCAAAATCTCTTGATGCTTTGCTCTTTAGAACCCAGACAAGAATGAATGCATTAATTATTACAGAATATAGATTTTATTTTATAAATGCTTATTAGATACAAGGTCTGATCTAAAACTACCAGGTCTGGTGCTATAAAAAAGAAAACTACAATGCATATCAATTCACCATTTAATCTCCTTTGAAGAAGACCTCTTCTGAAGCCATGCACTTTATCCAGTGTCATTTGCACTGATGGAAGCTTTCCTCGACCTCTGTTTTTGGGATTGTGAGCAGCTGCCTCATTGCATTTTCTTGGATTTAATTCACATCTTGAAATTGTATTCCTTTCAAGTAGGATTTGATTTTTGAAGAGGAAAAAAATCGTAAGAGGTGAGATATGTGGGAATATGTGTTTGTCGAACATGGAGAATGTTGTGCTTGGTCCAAAATTGCTTACAAGCCTGGGTCACTGATACGAACTCTATGGTGTAGCGAGACGACCACACTCTACACATTTTCCTTCCAAGCACTGCTATAAACAAGAGAAGTGAGAATGTTATAACTTAGTGTGTGCATGTGACAGAATTCAAGGTCAGTTTGTGCCAAATGGCTTCACTCTGTGTACATTAGCTTTGTTATCACAGCAACAGTCCCCATAATTTTTGATCAGACCTCATACTCATACACTAAATTTTCTAGTTCTAAACACTGCATGAGTTTTTTTTATTATTTACAAATGAAAGCCTCCCCACAAAAACAAAAATCAATGATAGTAGTCTATATAATTTTTAAAAAATTATTCTAACATTATTTCAATTTGGAATCATAATTTATATATATATATATATATATATATATATATATATATATATATATATATATATTGATTTTACCAACAAGCTGTTGTTGGTGATGACCAGAGTTAGATGTTTTTAATTTTTGATAATAGATAATAAACTAGACATTTTTAGTTTATTTCAACAGAAGGGAAACATTTTCTTTTTTCTTTTTAATAATATTCCCTAAAGCAAAGTCATCTTGTTTATTATTTTTGCGCATCTGGTTTTGGTAAAAATTACAAACAGAATGAATTCATTTTAAGAAATATTATTAAAAAAAAATGCATCTCTCCAGTTTAACATACTAAAAATATCAATTATCTAACATTCAACTTTATCATCATCAGCAACATACACATATTGAGTCATAAGTAATTCCTGTCATTGCAAATTAGATCTACTAATGAATACATCCTAATTACTAACCATACATGGCAGTTACATGGAGTACACTAACATATCTTAGTTTTTGCACTAAAATAGCAGCGTACACAGTGGATAAAAGGAAGAATGTTGCTCAGCACTATAACAACTCAAGGCCACATGCAGCAAGAATAATATAGGAAAAATTCTGGAACTTGGCTGGTCTGTTCTACCCCACTGGACAATACACTAACCAATTATTATCTATTTTTCAATCACAGCAAAACACTTTGACAGGAAAAATTTTCCCTATTGAAAATCAGATTTAAGAGTTTGGCAAAAAATTTTCTCCATCAAAATCTGTGGAATTTTACTTAAAAAAAATATTGGGGCGCTGTGTGATAAGTGGCAACCAGTCGTTGCAAATAATGGTTAATATTGAATTAAATCAAAAACAAAAATTATTTATGACTCAAGCAAATATATATGGCTGAGTGTTTAGAATGTTAGCATTTGGAACATGAGACCATGTGTGATGATGCAATTCTACACTGACACTGCACAAGCTATGATGACATCCAAATGCAGCTGTATGCAAATACACCAGCACTCGCTATATTCCACAGATTCGTCGCAATTATGGCTGCAAATGCTTTCAAATAATGACAATTGCATTTCAAGACACTTGCTGGGTTGGGAAGTAGCCAAAAAAAAATTTTTAAAAAATGATTTTACACTTAATCAGCAATGTCTTCCTTCTGTTACAAGAAGGTAAATTTCTATCTAACTTCTCACTAAGTCTCAGCCACAGAAAACAGACGCTACACACTTGTCCATTTCACTAACTGCTACTACACTCACTGTCTGATTCATTATATGGACACTGGCTGGGGAACACACCACCCTTCTCCATCCTCTTGTGTTCCACTAAACAGAAAGGGGGACTACCCAGATAGCTTTCAGGTCCTCAGTTTTTTAAAGGGCCATACTTTTACAGCTATCTAAAAATGACTAACAAAATTTTATATTTGTCAATTCAAAGGTGGGCTAGAGACAATTCCTGAAAACACCTGGTCATTAAGTATCTGTATATTTCTGAGATGAGGTACTATGTATACTATTTACATTATTCAGACTATTGTCCTCATCTTTGTTGCCATATTTATCACAACGTTTCAGCCGTTGTATGCTCCGGCCTTCTTCAGGTGGTTGGAATGTCGAACCCTTTATTTTGCTCGCTGGGGTAGACTGTACTAGTTCCATGTGCCATGTCTAATGGATGTCAGTTATCAGTTATCTCCTGCTAATTTCCCTCTGAAAGTTCTCCACTGCCATAGCCAGGTATTGAACTCACACTCTTTGGGTCCTGTCACTGGATCTAACTAACGCCTTTATCTACTGTGCCATGTGTCCTTGTGATAAATATGGCAACAAAGATGAGGACAATAGTCCAAATAATATAAATAGTGTCTTGGTCATTAAATTTACTCAAAATGGGCTGGAGACAAGATTTCTGAGAAACGCCTGATCATTAAATTGACTTAAAAGGAAAAACAATCTATCTATTCATTTCCTAAGGATGTGTAAGACATTGTATTTCTACACAAGGTTCAAATCTCACCAGGTTTGATTTGTCAAGGTATTTACTTCTTGATAATACAGTTTGGAGAAATGCCTGAAAAATCATAGTTTCGGTTGGCTCAATTATTGTGAGTGAAATTGGTTTGACAAAACTGGAAACTGTCAATGATTGCAGTTGTATGAATTTGTAAGTCATCATGACTGAGAGTTAGAGCAGGCTGGTGTGGTTCAAACTGCTATCATGACAGATCATGGGCTCATTCCAACAAACTGTAATTAAATCAATCTGGTGCTGGAGGATATCCCAATGCTCTGCCAGGACCTTCAGCAAATCAATCTGGTACTGGAGGATATCCCAATGCTTGCCAAGACAATGAGAACTGGACAGACCTGGCAGCTCTGATCGGCTCAATGTCTTCATGGCATGAAGCAGCAATGAAGTATTTTGGTCATAAAAATTTTAAAACAGAAACTAGGAAAGTAAATCTAAAAACATTACTTGCAGAAATTAAAATTTCATCATTTAGTTTTGTTTTTTTTTTAACATAAAGGAATGCTTTTCACTAATTAAATGAACTTTGGCAATCTTTGACCTTTGTGCCTTCAAAAACGGTTTTTCACTTATTTTAGCCACCTTCACACCTAAGCAATGTTTGTTTTAAAAAACAATGATTAAAATTTTAATAAAATCTAAACATATAAAAGTGAATTTATATAATTTCTTTGTTTTTGAGAAATGACAACAAAAATAATAAACACTTAAATTGTTTCCTTATACTATTATATTTTTGATTGGAATCGTTGGCAAAACCTCGACTGATTGCCAGTTGATTTGAATTTTATAAAATGGTAAATAAGGATTTTCTTATAGTTGGTTCACATATTTTAATAATTTCGTAATTTTTTTTAAGCATTTCACCCCAAGCAAGACAGGAGTGCCACAAGTACACAAGGGGCTGCCAAAAGCGAAAGTGAGGGAAAAGACTGGGTATGGGAGGTGGGGATTGAGGAAAGGAGAAAAAGAAGAATAGGGATCAAGACAAAAGAAAATGTTAATTGACATTACATTTAAATTTTGGAAGATTATAGTTATCAGGGAAGGAAGTAAGAGGAAGGGAGTTCCACTGTTGGGAAGTTGTTTGAGTAGAAGAGGCAGTTACATTTAACTGTTTTGACAGTAAAAGAGTGGGACCAAGATTCCAACATAGTAGCACGCTTAAATTCATGAATAAGAAATTGTTTTCAGATTTATTACTTTATAAATTGGTAACTTATAAATATTGCATTGTATTAGTTTTTAGAATGTTGTAAATATAAAATTCTTGTAAATAATCTAATAATGTTTAATATTTATGTAAAAATTCACTTTTGTCATATCTAAGCTTTATTGCAATTCTGCATGTAAATATTTGCCCACACGTGTACATAAACATACACACATGCCCATACATATTTAAAAATGAGATGATATACTAGAATATGTTTGGTCTGAATTTCAAAGCAGACTCTTGAAGGAAGTACAGAGTTAAGTTGAGATGAACTCCAGTTGCGAATTGGGACCCACAATACACCTGTTGTCAGTGGTAACCTCGAGAGGTGAACACCTGTTGGCTTGACAGCACCTAATTATATGTTCATGTGAGAAAAACTGTCATACAGATGGCTGTATAAACAACACCCCAAGAAAAAGAGCAGGTACTCTCTTACACATCACAGAGAGAAAATATAAGAATGATGTTCACTTGAGGGCTATCTATGTGGCTCACATACTACAGACCGATCAAGAGTAACTGACAGGATATCGGTGTGAATAAAATGTCAAGTAATGGAGATTCAAACCCCATATTATCATTTAACCGGTAAAGCCACTTAATTAAACAAAATGGTGTTGAAAAGTTCTCAGCCCAACAAAGAGCCCTTTTAAAAAGATGTTGGGAAAGTGGGCCAAGTAGGAAACTTTTCAGCACTCCCTTATATGCTTATTGCTATATAAGTATTCTCCAAAGATGATCATAATTTATCAAACATAACCAGGGAAGCTTATCAGGGTGCAATAGCTAGCAAAACTCATCTTACAAATCTTTATGAGTGATTTTGATCCCCACTGGGTGCTTCATACTTCTGGTCTTGTGTGAAAACTAAGCAATGGCTGGTAAATGACAACAGGAGGAGGTGCTGAAAATTTCTTGGGCCAGTATGTTAAAAAAAAAAAAAAAAAAAAAGTATTCTGACAGCACATTAAAATAAAGATTTTGGGAAGTGGGTCCAACTGAGAACTTTTAAGCACCCCCACCTACGTCAAACAAAATAAGAAATCATTCCTCAAGTACTTTTTACTTACAAGTATTTTCTTTACAGTTTTTCTCACATTTTACATTCAACTGAAAATACAATTACTGCTTACCTGAAGTTTTGCCTCCATGATAGCAAATATGCGCTCAACTCCTATACTGACACCAACACAGGGTACTTTTTTGCCCTTAGGGTCAAACATGCCAACCAAACCATCATAGCGACCACCACCAGCCACACTGCCCACACCCTGAGACTCTTCATCATTGCCTTTGTCAGCATTGTGAACAAAACCTGAATTATTTAAAAAAAAGAATAGAGTATTAAGGTCTTGTTTTTTTTTTAATAATTTCACTCCATGCAAGGCAATAAAGCCAATATAACACAAGGAGGTTATGGAGTTTAAAAGAATATAAAAAAAACATTAAGAAAAGAGAAAAATAAAAGAGGAATTAAGACAGAGGGTAATGATTGACACTGTATTTAAATTTTTGAAGATTAAAGTTGACTGGAACAAGAGACCAGAAGAGAATTCCACAAGTGTGAAGTGTAAGGGAAGAAACTATTAACATAGAATTTACAGCTACATCTAGCAATTTCAACTGTAAAATGGTGAGACCTAGCTGCCAAAATAGTACTGCACTTAAATTCATAAAGCCAAGATACCAAAGAGGAAAACTAACCATCAAATTACCATGAAAGTATATATATATATATATATATATATATATATATATATATATATATATATATAAGCACAGGGAAGCTGCATTATAGCAGTTTGAAAGTGACTGAAGTCAAGATGCTAGGTCAGGACTGATAAAAGTGCAGATTCTTTTTTTAGATTTTATCAAGAATCTCTAAATACATGGGTAAATCAAAAAATTGTCATAACATATCTTTAGAAAAGAGTGCAGATAATTTTTGTCTTTCTTTTATGCATAGATATGACAGCAATATGCACTACATGGACAAATGGTAGACTTATAAAGGTGTAAGATAAATTCTGTAGAGAAAAATTGTCTGACACAACATTGTGAACCAACTTTCCTAGCAGCAAACCTAGGAATCGATTCAATATAATCTTTCCATTTCATGTCAGTAAAAAACATTAACCCAAAAAAGACACAATGAGTAACTCTCCTGGAGGTTAGCATCAGCCATGTTGATGGAAGACAAAATAACTTTCTCTAAGACTATTAAAAAAAAGAGCAGTTTTGTTTTGGAGGTGTTAGAATTATTAATAATATAATTAATAAATTTTCAAATTAAAAATTCCTTACTTAAAAAAGAAAAAAAAAGAAACAGACAAAAAAAATAAATAAATCAGAAAACGTTTCCTTTGTACATCATTAAGGACACTTGCTGCTTTAATAATGTTAAAATTTGTGCATTTTAGCTTTGCTAAAATACCAGCCCAAATTAAGTTGAAGAATTCTAAGTGTTACATTACACATATAATAATTCTATTCCATCAGTAAAGCATGCCTTAATTTTGCTACTATTGATAATCCTGTTCCAGTGAGCTGGTCAATTCTGTAACACAGAGAGACTTCAAAAGAGGTTTGTCGCTGAGGAAAGCAAAATAACTCACTCCAACAATGTAAATTGTGGAACACATGGCCCACCATAGATTGTAGCATTTCTAAACGGCTACCGAGAGCAAAACTGTGTGCCTCTTCAAGTGAATCCTTAAATGCATGTTGAACTCATGAATATTCATTAGTCAATGATATAAGGATTATCTTTGTGCATTGTAAATGGCCATCTACATGCAAAGTACACAAAGCATCCAGGTATAAGGCCTCTTCACACTGCCCATACCCAATGGTGTAACCACACCCTGGTCCTCAGGGTCTTAAGACAACATTTTAACCACAGGGTTAACCATGCACTGGCCAATACTGACACTGGTTCAAGCTGGCTGTTGGTTGCTGACTCCTTTGATCCACACCAACTGTCTATGTTGTGTTCTTGATCTGAAGTGCTAGTTAAAGCCTGGCAGAAGCTATGTTAAGGGAAGAAATATCTTCACAATGAAAAATAAAACAAAAGATTCATTGTGTTAATCTTCAATTGGTTTATATCGTTCTTGGTACAACAAAACTTAACCCTCCCTGCATCAATCTCTATAGTGACACTGGGGCCTTGTCTAGAATTCAAGATTCAAAGTTCTTCAGAGTTAGGAGATCTGGTGGCATCTGATGTGGATTCCAGAGGCACCTGATGTGGGAATTTGGCATGCAATTCCTTGGGAGTGGTTAGAGATTGCTCCACCCCTCAACTCCAACTTGTTTCATATTACATGCCATACAGGTAGTGCTAAATTCTCTCTCTTCCTCCTCAGCATCCAACCTCAGCCTACTTCCCAGGGCAGGCATAACTGTCTTTGTGACAAATCTAATTTTTAAAGCATGTAGACGAAAGGGTAGAGTGTTATTCTAGTAATTAATTTTAATTCTGATTCCTTTCTATTTTCCAGGAATTATTTTTGTCCAGCAAAAATATAAGCCAGATCACTTCTCTTGCCCACCAATGACAGGATTTGTTTTTGTAACTTTCATCTCATCATACATTTGACCCTTAAGAAGAGTTTGTTCTCATTTAAATTTCCCAATGTCTTTGTCGGTGAAAATATAACCCAAACCTATCTTTTTCCTTGTTAACAATATTTATTTTTTTAAATTCTTAAGGAAGGAATAAAAATTATTTCTCAATTCATTTCATTGCATGCCAGCTTCCTTGATAGAAAAAAACAAACTCTTGATGCATCATTCCAATTCTTAGGGGTAAAACAATCCAGATGGCCCCTTTTTCACTTCCCATTACCAGGGAAAATGTCTCCACCCTCTCTCTTTCAATTTAAGCTTAACTCTTTCATGGTTCCTCCAGTTAATACTTAACATTAAACATTTCATGGTCTCAGTGTCACAAATGTAATTCATCACAAATTTGTTTCTGATATTCAATGTCATTCTACAGTAAAACCATGAGCAGTGCATTTACAGAAGCCAATGGTACTGTATTTTCACTGGCTTAATTGAATTCTACCTTGTTTTACTCTTAGTTCTCTTGAGACAAAGTACATTTAAGCATCTGTTAATGTAGGACCACTTGGGAATACCAACTGCTGTAAACTTTGATGTGCAGGTGGTGTAAAGGATTTTCACTATATTTTTCTTGATCAAATTTATTGATAAATCCCAAATATTATATTTGTATATTTAATAGTTTAGAAATCAAGGTACCCTGAAATTTTACTGTATTTTTTTTTTTTGCGTTTTGCCAAATAAAGCTTTCAATCAAATTCTAACCTTCATAGCTCTAAAGATATTACAGATTTGAAACTTGGTGATAAAAGTTAATATTTACTGTAGATTACAAAAATATAAACAACTTGTGCTTTTACTTTTATAAAGACCTAAATGTGGTTTCAATACCAAAATGCAAAAAGACACTGTCTACTTTTTAAGAGTTTCTCATTTACAAAATATCTGACATATTTATAGCTATGGAACTAGCTCAGAGTTTATTTAATAATTAACTTAAGAATTATGATTCATCAAAAAATTTAAATAGCAAATACCATGAAATTTTACCACCACCCCATTAGTTTGTAATAAATTAGGCTCAAACATTTGTCAGTTTTCAGTTACAATTCAGAAATTATTGCATTTAACAATCACTGTGTCAAGAGAGAAATGGAAATTGAATTTTTCTGCTAGGTTTTTTTTGGTTTTACTTTTTAAAAATTCATAATCAATTTATCAGATGAATAAGTGTTAGTGCAAGACAATCATATTATTTTTAAGCTTCTATTAAAACAAATGACTGACCTTTGAGGACAGCTTCATAAATAACACCTGTGTAGTAATCCAAGCCACGAGCAAGACTTAGATCAAATGATACCTGAAAGAAATAAAAAATATTAAATGAAAAATTAAGAAAAATATGCAATAAACGTCTCTGCGAGTGTTCATGTTAGATTTCTTAATATAATGTTATATTGACTGGGTTAAAGGTTTTTAACAAACAATGAATTTAAGTCTACCATCCTAGAGATCAAAACTCTTACTAAAGGAAATGGGCCTCCTAATAGGAACTGAACCTGTATTCCCTTTTTAAACTGGAAAACCACTTTCAAGTCATGCATTGTTTACCACTGAAAGCATACTTGACTGTTTTTTGTTTTTAAATAGATAGGCTGTGTACTTCAGTTATTGGCTGGCTGCCAATTTAGCAGAAAGACTATTCTGGATTCAACATAGAGAAAGCAACAGGAAACTACTTCAGTATCTTCTGCAACAAGTCATGGCAAATCCCAGAAAAGGAGTGTGTGGAGAACCATCTTCACCTACATTCTGAAGACTTTAATAAAAAGAATACAACATAGAACATTTTTTTTTTTTGCTGCTGTTCACAGTAGATAATGGTTAATCAGAGATTGAAGAAATTAAGATTGTAATAATCAAGGAAGCAACCTCTTAGGAGTCTGTGCCACTGAGTAAGCACTACTTTGTGTTATATTTCTTGGGAAGAAGCTGACAGAATGGATCTTCTTCCTTACCAATGGAATATGAAGAGAATGATGATACATGACAAAGATATGAAGGAAAGGTATTTTTCCATCTCTTCTCCCATCAGATATGGGCTGAATATCAGGACAGACTGCATCCTATAGCCTTGGTTGGCAACCAGACTACTGCAGAAAGAAATGACAACCTACTGTGAGAAAATCACTGTCTAGTCAAGCATGAATCGAGAGACATGATTGCCCAAGCATATAACATGTATGGCACTTAAGTAACTGAAAATCTGAATTAGTGGAATTTTTTTTTTTTTTTAATCATTTCATTTCAAGCAAGACAATAATGCCACTAAGATACAAGAGGTTACTGGGAGTGTAAGAGAAGAAGAAGACTTTACTAAAGAGAAAGGGCAACAAAAGAACAAAATTCAGGAAAATAGAAGATGGTGATTGAATTCAAATGAAACTATAGTTAAATATCACCTACAACTGCCAAAATTTACTGACACTCACTCTGATGTTCAAAAATGAGCTTAAAACTTTCATCTAACTTCATTAACCAATGTTCTCAAAAGATGCATCAACAATCAATTTATAACATTTTGCATTCTGAAGACAATTGATTGGTCAATGGCAGTGTGTTTGACTCTCTTTGTTGTGTTATCATGACCTACTAGGGCAACAGCTAAAATGACCTTAACTGAAATGGAGGACAAGATTACTCCAGTTTAAGTGCTGATATTTGCAATGAAAGAAGTAATACCTGGGGAATAATGCAGAGTGTTTAACGTTACGTATCAAGCTACTTTTGAACTTCATAGCTGATCTCTTATGAGCCATATTGCTTCAGGATGTGAGCAATTATGATTTTCCACAATTTCCTATCTTTTGTAGCTTATTGCAGGCCAATGTATGCAGCTCATGAATTGTTTTGGGCTTTAGTAACCTCGGCGTTTGAAATTGGGAATAACATGCTGTCTCTTGAAAATACCCACAACAAAATGGTGGACTCAAGACGTGAGTCTACATAAAAAATGTGAAGAAAATAACAAGACCCAGTATATATGTACTAAACAAATGATACTATATTAATAACAAAGGTATACAAGTGACAAAGACAATGATGTGTGTAACAAAAAGATGTGAAAACCTTTTTGGTCCAAAGTATGTATAGCGAGTGAATGTGTGTACGCACATGTGTGTATGTGTATTGTTCATACATTTCCCAAAGGGAACGCGTTCTCTGCAATAGGTTACATGTTGACAAATAAGCAGATAAGGTAAGACGAGAGTGAGAAAAAAAATATCGCTGAGTAGTTATAGTCTGGAGAGCATACCCTAGTAGTGGTTTTGAAAATTGGGTGGAGTTATGCAAGGTTTGTCCAGTTATTATCTGTCCTTGTTCTAGACATTTTCACATGCTTGTTAGGTAGGTTGCTCATGGCTTTCTACTGTCCTTCTTGTCTGCAATATGTCCTGTGTGTGTCAAATTATCCAAGCCATCTTTCCTCATCATGTATCACAGAAATTTCAACTGTCTCTTTATAATTCTGCTTGTCATATTCCTGTTCTGGACATACAGTTACACAAGCTCTCACAATAAAGATCAAAATTATTCTTCTAATGGATGTAGGCTATCATGGCTCTCCACAACTTCCAATCCTTTGCAGCACTAAGGACTTTCTGTCCCCTAATATCTGTTCCTGTTCTGCATTTTATTTACACGAGTTTGTTAGGTAGATTATTTGCTGTATCCTCTGCCCTTCTTGCTTTCTATATGTCCTGTGGGTATCAAATTTTCCAAGTCCCTTTTCCTCATTATGGACTAGAAATTTCAACTGTCTGACACATAAACCCAAAGATGGTAGCCAATTCCAGTTAAAAAAAAAATGCTTGAACCAGGTCTGGGTTTACAGCCATATCATGTTGAAACACTGTTTTTTGTAAAAAAATCACATAAGTTAAGCAACATCAAGCCTTGTCAGTACCTAGTTGGGTGACCACTTGGGAATACCAGGTGCAGTAAGCTTGGATGTGCAGCTGGTGTAGTGGATAACAGTTTGGAATTGAAAATTGGAGAGCTGAGTTCCAATTCCAGTTGGGACTGTTATATTAACTTAAACATAAATACCCTTTGAAAAGGTATGAATCCACTTCTTCTCTCCTCTAGCTATGGGTTAATTAATAGGACTTGTATCAGTAAATCATTATCTCCAAAATATTCTATGTAAAAAACAATCAATGGACTCTAGACATTAAGGATAGATTATTTTTGAAAATTAAGCCAACCTCATTCAGACAGCCATAAAGACTGCAATAGTGAAGCAAGAGTTTCATATCTTCAAGACCCATCACTGCAGACTTCTGCTTCATTAGTTTGGCATCATTTTGCAACTGTTCGACAAGATCCATTTGACCTGAAAGAAAAAAAAAATGAATTAGTACGATAACACTTCTTCAAATTAGAGACAAATTATTCTCTTTAGACAACTTCTCATATTCGAATCACACTGTGGGTGCTTTTCTTTCAATAGTTCAGGGAAAAAACAAAATGTAAAGAAATTAATCTAAAGAAAACTACATATGATGATTTACCTTTAATACTTTGTATGTGACTTTGTTTGCTGTACAAATTTATCTTGCTACTAAAGGTGACTGATCACTGAACAATTGTGTGTTTGAATTTTATAGTTGTGTTGTCATATCCTGCTTTGGCAACAGAAAACCACTTTGAGTGAAATTAACAAAGATACTGCAATTGAGAGGCCTTAAAAAAGAATGCAGTAGGAAGAGAAGTAATAACAATGCAGAGTGCTAAAGGTTAAAGCTCCTTGTCTAATAGAACTTAACTAAAAATATCCATTTTTTTGTCTCCATAAACCATTATTATCTCTAAAAAGAGATTCTTTTTTTTCTACAAATGTTAATTCAATGCAAGGTGCAAAAGCTACTCAAGGTAGACAGTTGCCAAATGAAGAGAGGGGTTTAAACATGAGAGGAGGAAGTAACGGTAATATTAGTAGTTTCCTTACAAGGAAACATTTGGCATTTATTGACTGAGCAGCCAGTACTTTTTTTGGTTGAAATCTATAAAGTTTCTCTAAAAATAATTTCTCAGGAAAATAGGTTTTTCAAGCTGAGTAGCTGTTATTGCTCTTTTCAGTATCGATGAGGGAAATTTCCTTCCTAACCTTTTATTTGAAGAAGTGTGGAATGTCATTATTTTCTCTTTGAGTTAAATGTGCTATTCATTTTAGTTGTTGTTGCTGCTGTTGATATTCCTCAAGCGATGTTATTTCTGTTATTTGATACAGTTCTTTGTGATTCTGCAGTGCAGGTTCACAATGTTCAAAGAATGATGACCTTTGCCAAGATCCACAGGCTTCATTTGCTCAAAGACATTTTTAATCATGGATCTTAGAAAGCAATTGCATTCAGCTGACAATTTAGATAATTCTGAACAGGTTTGGTACCAAGCATGACATCCATATGAAAGTCTCAATCTGATGAGGTTATTTAAGAACATGACTCAAGTTTTCAGGTTGATGTTTTGGTTTTGTAGCAAGTCGCAGTATTGGGTGAAACTATGTCTGGTGCAGCCTATTGAAGATTATGTGGATGTGGAAGATAGATAACAATTGACACTGGACTTGAAAGGGTTCAGATTGTAGTATTTGGAAAAGCATTTTCCAACATTATGAAATATACATGCATATACAGTATGTGTGTGTGCGTGGGGGGTTTAAAATATTCATACACATACAAATTTTTAATTTATTGTATTTCCAACTAATGAATAAACATACTTTTCACATAATTAACTGTACACAGATGCATAATAACTAAATATGCATAGAAAACAAAAAAAAATTGATTTAATAGAAATAAATCCTATTTATCCATTTTAATGGGTGAAAAAAGTATTCGTACAAAACAAAAAAGAATACATAATTTTCAATTAATACTTTATAGAATAGCCATTATTCACTTCTACAGCAACCAACCTCTTCTTGTAGTTCTCAATAAATGACTTGCAAATTTTAGTTGGTATTTTGTTCCATTCTTCTTTGTATATGGTCTTCAGGCCTGTGATGTTTGTTGGAGCTCTCGATTGGATTTGAATTTTCAAATAATGCCACAGATTCTTGATTGGGTTTAAAACTGGAGACTGACTTGGCCATTTCAGGATATTTACATTATTTTCAGCAAGCCATTTCTTCATAGATTTTGCAGTGTGATTAGGAGCATTACCTTGTTGGAAGATCCAATAGGAGGAAGTTCAAGATTTTCGACTGTAATCATTAAATTTCCTTCCAAAAATATTGAAATCTTTGGTGGAGCACCTGTTCTTCTTTGGTTTTCAACAAGTTTGGTATTTTATACTTTGCAATGAATGAACTAATGGTAGTAAATAAAATATTCAAGTTGTCTGAGATTTTCCTGCAATTTTTACCTTCTTTCCAGTGCTTAACAATCAGTTCTTTTTGCAAATTTGTCAATTCTTTACCTCTTGTCATGATGATAACCTTCTTGCACAAATATCAATTACAGAATATTCTGTTTGTATTTTTAGGCTAAAAATAACAACTGATAACATTATTGGAACATTCTAGAATATTCTACTTGAATAATCTAGACTATTAAAGCAATTTAAAAAGTTTTAAAATCTGAAATTTGTCTTGTATGAATATTTTTTTGTTCATTAAAATGGATAAATGGGATTTATTTTTATTAAATCAAAGTTTTTTCTATTTTCTATTCATATTCAGAAATTATGCATCTGTGTATAGTTAATTATTTGAAAAGCATGTTTATTCATTTGTTGTAAATACAATAAATTAGAAATTTGTATGTGTGAAAATATTTGTTCCCCACCACTGTATATAAATGAAGAGGTGCTGAAAAGTTCTAAAAGAGAAAATAAAAATAATTATTTTTTATTTTATTGTTTCCCCCCAAACAAAGCAATAATGCCACTAGAACACAGTAGGCTTATAGGGAGTTAAAAAGAATGGCAAGACTTTAGTGATTGAGGAAAATGGCAATAAAGGAAGAAAGTTCAAATAGACAGTAATATTTATTGTTTTTCAGTTAGGCTTGGAATCGGTTAATTTCTTGAAACTTGAATGGACGTGTCTTCTTTCCTTGAATTCGGAACACCATAAGTTATACTAATGTTTGTGCAAGAAGTTGAATGCACATGAAACCTGATTAACCAATGAAATCAAACACGACAAAAATAAAAAATATCAGAAATTCATTCTTCTTTTTCTTCATATCCTCAAATGAAGCTTTAATAAAAGTGAAATATGATAAATTGAAAAACTTATCAATTTATTCATTCTAAAAATTGACACAATGGTCACATCAAAGACTGACCTTTCAGTTTAACATACTCTCCAATTGCATCAGCTACATCAGGATCCAATCCTTTCTCTTCCGTCATTTCTTTACGGACATCCAACCAAGGTGTCTGGAGTGGAGAGAAAAAAAAAAGTTATCTCCATGTAGATTTATGCCATACATTAAAAAAGAACAGAAAGAATAACCAAATATTAAAAATGACAGAATGGACAAACGTCATCTAAATTAATATTCAGCTCTCACCGTATGACCAAATGATAAATAAAACAAGACAAATGAATTGTCATGGTTTAGGCAGCAATTGTTTGGGATCAAAGGAATTTGATTTTCTTTGTCATTTTGCAGTTTCCTATGAACTACATATATTAGAGAATGTTTTTTTGTTCAGTGGCATATCAATTCCTTATGGGTCATTTAATGCCAAAATTTAATTTCTTGAGAGCATTAGTAATTTCTTTAACAAAAAAAAAAAAATGTATTGCTGGTAATTTTTTTTAATCATGAAAATGAATTGCTGTTATTTGTACTATAAAAATGTATTTTTATAATTTCATAGCATTTTGATCCCAGTTTTGGTGTTAACTATTTGTCCATAGCTGGGACCCTAACAGATGCTACCACCCCAGGTCAGGATGAACCTGGGAACAGCAATTAAGAGGTGATTCCATGTTCCTCAAAACCTCTCAATTGGAAGCCTTGCTACCAGATGTGGTTTATTGATGTGCCTGGGACATATTAGAGAATGGTAAGAACACATGCTTACCAAAGCTCATACGAGGGTGTATCAAAGACTTTAAAAAAATTTTTTTAACAGACTTTTATCAGAGAATTCAAAACTAAGCAGGGCTATTGCATTAACTTCACATTAATTTCAATGAGAAACACAAAAATCTATCATTGCAGCTCAGACCAAATGCCAGGTTCATTTTCAGGGTGTAGCTTCTTCCAGTCAAATACTTGTGGCTTAATAGATGGAAAATAATTATTTGGTCAGATCGTTACTCATGAAATAAAACCACGAAAGAATGTAACAGAAGGCAAAATTGGAAGTAAGACACTTCTCTATCCATTTATATGTAATATGTAAAATAGAAAGAAAAAACAAAAAAAAAGGTCAGGTGAAAGATCATTCATTTCTACGGTTACCATGTAACCTAGTACAACCTGTCACAAATTACCTTGAGGAGAGACGTTAACCATGAAACAAATTTTTATAAATCTGACAAATGCCAAGAAGTGGATTTATTCAGCATCACAGTTTAATGACCCTGAACATTAGCGGACAAGAACAAAAATATCTCTCTCACCTTATCTAGTTTATCTACAGCAGAACAAATTGGTCGGAAGTCTTTTTCTGGAACGCCACATGCAGCAAATATTCCGTCTAACAACTTCCTATGATTCAGCTAAAAGAAAGGAAATTTGAAAAATTTAAGCAAAAATTATTTCTTGCAAATAAAAGAGGAGGAAAATTTCTGTTGAAATTAAAAGAAAAAAAAATAATGCTACATTTTTCACAGTAAGATTTGTAAATAAAAACTAAATAAAAGATGAACCCCGATAAACTATAATGCATTGTATCTATTCAGGATATCATCCTTCTGTAGAACCACATTTCAGTTGCCTGAAAAAGGATCAATATTTCGTTACAGTTGAGCACTATTTTCCTCGTTTCTAAGTGTTGTGGCCTTGTTAGGGACAGAAATAAAGACACAAGTGAGGAATTGAGTTAAACAAATATATTAACAGAAACAGTAATATAAACATATACAAACAAGAGTGTTACAGCAAGAATGTTTGGTTCAACTATCCAAAGCTAACTGCTAGAAACTTCCTTCTCCAAAAGGCAGTATCTGCTCCTATTTATAGCTGGAAGAGTCCATATGTGTGCTGGTAAATTACCATAACAGTAAGTTTTCCTGTTTCTTAATACTTTGCTTGGTTTTTGGAAGGCATTTTTCGCTATTCCAATGCGCAACAGAATTTGGTGTCACATCTGTTAAAAGATTACTGAGATATTTAAACTCTGTACTTGTTTGATATCTCACTTTTCATTAGTACCAAAGAGTGCTTGGAAACATTCAGTTTGAGAAAGTTTTAAATAATACTTAAATAACAGGTTTTTCGGGAAGACAATTTAAAATAGGACCAGTGTTACATTCATTGTTGTTTCTCATCTGCCTAATTTTATAGAAAATTTCAAACATTGTCATTTTAGGTTTTACCATATATGTTATTAAATTTCCATCCATGATGGATATTATTAGTTAAAATATAGACACACAGCAAAATACAAGTAGAAAGGTTTGCCTAACACCTGGTTTACATTCTTCCCTAGTCTTTTGAACAAGAATAGAGTTTTATCCTTTGTTCCCGGTTTAGGATTGGGTTTCTAAGTCTACTTCAACTCTATACACCTAATGTCTTTGAAATTTACTCACAAATTAAATCTTGATGTTTTCAAGTCTAGAATTAGCTGTCTATCTTTTCTGTTATCTTGTCTTTTCTTCCTCTAATACAAATCCACACACTATCCCTCTATCTTGAGTGGCCCATTGGCCTTGCATGGGGGTGAACGTTAGTTAGAAAAGAAAAAAAAGAAACATGTACATTAAATGCTGTGTCAATAATAGTGTCTGAACAATCAAGATAAAAATAATTTCTTTTCTATAAATAATTTCATAGTAATTGGTCTGGTGAACTTTCCGCTATGATACATCAGCTTTATGAATTGAAGTGCAGTACTAGATTGGTGGCAAGGTCTCATCCTTTTACACTTGAAATGGTTAGATGTAACTGTAAGTTTTATGTTAACAGATTTTATTTATTTTCTCTGGCCTTTTCAGAAATTATACCTCTCGGTCTTTATTGCTGGTTTTAAAGTATAAAACACTGAGATAAGACATTATTGCTGAGCAACAGTCGCACTAAGTCAAATGTGATGCATATTCCCCCCCCCCATATCCTTCCACTGCCCTACTTTTATCACTTTTCTCTTTTTTAGTGCACGTTTCTAAGTGAAGTAACCAGCCTGTCTATAAATTCAAAATCTTAACTGCAGCAGAGACTACTGGAGTCAATGAGTCAGACAAGTTTCTTCTCTTACACTTCTCGCTTGTGAAACTCCCTTCTGGCTTTTTGCTTTCAACTAGAGTTTGATCTTCAAAAATTAAAATGCAATGTCAATTGTTATCTTGTCATAATTCTTTTTCTTTTATTATTCTCTCCTTAACGTTTTTTTTTTTCTCATAGACTTTCACCCTTTGTAGCCTCTTGTGTTTGGTATGAAAGGTTTAAAAAATAGAATTCATAGCACTTTATTACACGCTTTTCCAAAAGAGGATAAACCAAAATATATAAAAATTTATAGCGCTCTTAATTCTTGTTCTTTTATTATTCTTTCTCTCCTTAATAGTGTTTTTTTTTCTTCTTATATTAACACTGAGTAACCCTTTGCATCATAGTGACTTTATTGCTTTGTTTCAAATGAAATGACTAAAAATAAAAAAATAGTTCAAATATAGTGAATGTCAAGGAGTAATTTTAAAAATTTCAATTCTTTTTTTCATTTATTATCTGAGAGACTCCTCTTTGCCTTCCATCAACATGGCTGATGCTAACCTCCAAGAAAGTGACTTGTTGTGCCTTCTCAAGTTAACATTCTCAGCTGACATGAAATAGAAAGACTATATTGAAGCTATTGCTAAGGTCAGCTTCTAAGAAAGTTGGTTCACTATATGCAGGACAATTTTTCTCTCCGAAATCTATCATACATATCTGTAAGTTTACCATTTGTCTATTTCTGAGAATATTGCTGGCACATATGGTCCACTGATCCTGCTATTAAGCTTGAACTCCTTAAAATCCAAAAAAGAATCAGAGAAATTTTCGGTCCTGATTTGGCAGCTCAACTTCAGTTACTTTCCCACCACCATAAGGTATCTTTTCTATAAATACTTTCATGGTAATTGTTCGTATCAACTCTTCACTATGGTACCAAGACTTTTTAAATTTCAGCACAGTACTAGACTGGCATCGAGACCAGCCAACTTTAATGTGCAAAATCTGAATGCAATGTCAATCGCTATCTACTGTACTCATGATTACACTTTTCTCTTTCTGCTCATTATTAATGTTTCTCTTCCTAATTCTTGTAACCCCTTGTATCTTAGTGGCTTTACTGCCTTACTCAGGATAAAACCGATTAAAAAAATCGTTGAACATTTTCTTTGAAGCCACTTCAAATTATTTTTATAAAAAAAAAAAAAAAAAAAAAAAAAATGGTTGCCATCAGGTTTAGATATAACAGTACAAGGCTTTCACTAGGACCTAAAAAGATAACCTACGGTAAGTACTGTGAATAATCACAAAATAATGATGACAGCATAACCACTATTATAAGGTTAGAAATAGTATATATTTTTACTTCAGAAAAAAAATATTTTCAGTTTTATTCCAAAAAAGAAAATGCAACAAAGAGTTGAACCTTAATTGTCAATATCAGTGTTGATAAAAAGACTAAAAACAAATAAAATTGACAAAAAATATCAGTTAAGTCAAAAGTTACTTTAATGTGATATTTTTTAATGCATTTCAACTTAAATTTTCTTTAATTTCATTATATATATGAAAAAAAAAAAAAACAAAAAAAAACGTAGTTTTAAGGTATGCTATATTTATGACTTAAAGTGCTCAATATCAGAGATAAAATGCATGTAAATATAAAACAGGACACTGAGGTCAACAATGAGTGAGCCTTGATGGCTTGTAGATTGCTATTAAGGATAAAACAGAATGTCAGCACTCAGTGTTGACCTGTGTCCACTCATATATATATATATATATATATATATATATATATATATATATATATAGATATATTTTCTTTTTTTTTAAATTAATATTTTTTTTTATTTGTTTTCCAGAGATAAAATTATGGCAGCTGCAACATGTCAATTATTTTGGAACAATGGAGTATAAATTGGCCAAGGTTGCTATTAAAAAATAATATATTTGTACATGTATATACACTGCAAAAGCAAAAACACATACAGGATTATGCATATATGCACAATCACACACAAATGTGCACACTATCATAAATATATCCAGACACACAGTCATATACAGATGTGAAAAGATACATACAATCATAAATATATGCATGCACATACAACAAAAATCACAAAAAGACATAATCAGAAATATATGCACACATACACAATCACACATATATACAAATACACACAATTAGACAGATGTATATCATACATATACACACACAAAAAAACACATCATATATATATATATATATATATATATATATATATATATATATATAAAAAATGTGTGTGTGCATATGATTTGAGTAAGAAAATAGTGTGTATGTTCACATATTGTATGCTTTAGTTTAGTATATATCGACACTAAAGCATACAATATGCATACACACTCTATTTTCTTACTCAAATCATATACACATGCACGCACACACATATATCTCAATAAAAAGTCAATAAATCCGTTGGCATATAATCCAAGTGGATCCTAGTAATATAAAATATTAAAACTGATCCCCAAAAGGAGCATAATGTATTTATTATTACAGAGCAAATAACTGGTACACAATAAAATCCAAAATCACTTTATATATGGAATAAGCTTATGCCAGCAGACAAAAATATAAGTTGTCTGTCTTATACCGGCATACTGGGGCTGATATGACAGACAACTTATATTTTCATCTGTTGAAATAAGCTTATTCGTCATATGAGGTGATTTTGGATTTTATTATACATATGTGTGTGTGTGTGTGTGTGTGTGTGTGTGTATATATATATTTATGTGTGTGTGTGTGTGTGTATATATATATATATATATGTGTGTGTGTGTGCATATATATATATGTGTGTGTGTGTGTGCATGTGTGTATATATATATGTGTGTGTGTGTGTGTGTGTATGTATATATATATATATATATATATGCAAACACACATATGCAAATATGCACACAAAAATGACACATGCACAGACATGCCACAATAAAGCATACATATATTCATACATGCAGCATCTACTTATTCAAATAAGTAAAAGCTAATGAAATAAAATGTCCACAGACAACAAAAAAGTCAAAAAAGAAATGGCTGGCCGCAGCTGGTTGCAATATGACATGAATAAACAAAAGTCTATTTGTCAACTGACAATCATTGGTAGAAAAAAATAAAATAAAAAAAGAAGCAGGGAAAAAAATAAAATAAAAAAAGAAGCAGGGAACATTTTCTCACATTTAACTTCTGACAAACTTTTTTTTTATAAATGGATTTATTAAAAAATAAAATCAAAACATCTTTATTCTATTAATACAACAATACTTTATATACGAGAGAGAGAGAGCTGAAAGG